CCTGAGATAAGATTTTTCATCCGCATCAACTGTCTTATTTACCATTCTCGCGGCATTTCTACTTGTGTTTGTTTGAATAAAATTTACCAGATTGTGTATCTTCATGACCAATGCTTGAGAATTGATGGAATTTCGTTCCTCACAGCAAGCCCTGCATGTGTCTACTTGTACTGACGGTAAATAATTACGTCGTACTGATGATTCTATTTAAGAAACCTAGCAAGTAGTGCTTCTTTTAAGGGAAAATGACAGATTGGGAGTTTACACAAGGGATAGTGCTTTTTCTTAATGACCGGCCGTAAATTCAGGAATATCAGGATTTTGTGTTCGTCTTTAAAGACACAAATGTGTAAAAAGCATCCAATCACCATTGAGCAATTCGGACCTACCAAAACGCCATTGTTATTCTCGTAAAGAAGCGACTAATTTGTCATTCCCCCTATACTTTTCACCCGACAACGAATAATCGCCCGGTAGGCCATAGTTTTGAAATGCAATAGCTATTTCTTACAAACCAAAGGTGCAATTTTCAATCGAGGACATATAAATTTTCAGGTGGTGTAATTTCACTCGATTAGTTAAATAATCTAATCCGACTCTTCCTGGTCGTGAGCGCAAAAAAATGACTTAGTATATTCTAACAGACATGATATCAAATATTATCCCATGAGCTTTTGCAATAGAATGAATTATGCAGATATAGATGGCATCCAAGGTTGATGCTGAAATGCAATTCACCTCCTTCATAAACAGGACAGCATTGCGCCAATTGTATCAGCTAACTTTTCTTTCTTTGGATCAGGTTGCTTTACTCCATCGACCACAAGGGTTTTCGTTTTGCAACTGTATCATGATTGCAAGTAGCACTAGCATATTCTATTTTTGGCAATTTTAAATAGGTTTTGTTGATCCTATTCAGTCAATTCGTTCTATATTACATGATTTGGTTACTTCTCGATTTGAACGTTTACCTGATATCTAACAGAATTATTGAGTTCTTCGACTAGGTTGACCTATCTTGAATTGATGTAAAATCACTGCATATATCAAAGAGTGACCTATCTATAATTTTAATTTGAACCATCTTATATAGTTTTTGATACTTGAAGGCAACTAACGTGATTGCCTCTTTTGAACGTAACCAATACATAATTATAAATTGGCCCAGTTGGGTTCTCAATTTTAAGTTGGTTTACGAGGATATCGAGATAACCTACTTATCCTATGCAAACACACACAACCTTCTTCATCAATAATATCAAGAGTCTTGTTCGATGGGTTTCGCCAAATATTTCACTCAACTAATCATGGATACCGAAGTTTCATAGTTTGATACTCGAGTAATTATAGATGGATGTGCAAATAGGATTGAGATAGGATCAATTTGACGATATAACATCAATCCAACAGAAATCAATAAGCATCATTCATGTGTAAAATTCTTTTCTTCTACCATATGCATGAGAATAAATAAACGGTAAGGAATAATCTTTACTAGATTTTATGCACAGCAAATCTTCCATTCTTATATATAATAAATCTTTACGTAAAGAGGGAAAAAGGTGAGAAAAACGAAGAAAAATAATATTTTGCCCTATGGACAAAAGGCAAAAGGGTGAGGAAAGAGTTAAAAAAAAAAATATTTAGCCCTTTATATGGACAAAACTTATTGAGCTCATGCAATCTTAACTTACAAAAGTTATGTTTTCCCTATAAATTTAAATTTCATGACAGTTATCTTGTCTAGATAAAAAGAAAAGAAAGTAAGGGAACTACGTACTTTGTTTTTTTATAATTTCATGACAGTTATCATCCCCATGAAAGTGAAAGTTTCTTTCTTTTTTTCTTTCAATTTTTTTTGCTATAGAATGAGTTATGCAGACATAGATGGCATCCAAGGTTGATGCTTAAATGCAATTCGCCTTCTTCATAAACAGGAAGTATTACGCCATTTGAATCAGCTAACTTTTCTTTCTTACTATTGGATTGCTTTAGTCCATCGACCACGAGGTTTTCCTTTTGCAACTGTATCATGATTGCAACTAGTATTAGCAGAATTCCACCAGCCGTGATCCCTAAAAGCAGACTCTCCATATAGGGAATTCTTGCCTAGACCCGGGCCGTAGACTCAATGCGATCCTAGGCATTGGATTTGTGTCGACCCACATAATCAAAGTGTCGCCCCGGGTCCAAACTAGTAATATTCCTCCGTTTGTGCATAATCTCCATTAGATTTTAGTGAATCACGCTCCATTCAATCAACTTTAATGGTGAGAAAGACAACCTACAAATTTGAAGGGCATAGTTTACCGCGACATATTAATAATAGTCGGTATTGATTAAGAACTTACCATCAATCTAAATATACACATTCCAAAGATTGTCATCATATTAATGGAATTTACCTAACTTTTGGATAGTTACTGAAGTTATTTTAATGGCATGCATCTTCTAATCCAACTAATGTGATATAGATATCTATGGATCCTTTATAATCACCAAGTCATAATGTCAACGTTGATAAACAATTTATCAATATAAAGCGAGATCGACAGACTTATGGCCTTGCACAATATATACAATCGTGAAACTTATTGCCCCCAAAGTGAACTTACGAGCATGTCACCAAAAGGTGAACTATAGCATACCGATTCTGTTTGAACATTTATCAACTCAGTTTCAAAGGCATGCATGTTTGTTTAGATCTAAATAAAAGCAAAAAGTAGTTTTTTTTAATTTTCCAGCAAATTAGAAAAAATATTTAAAATTTTGAAATTATTAGGAAAAAAGAAGAAGATATGCGTGTATGTGTTAACATTTAAGTACAATGAAAGTTTCAGGACTTTTGGTTTTAAAAAAGGTTAAAAATATGTAAACTACGAGATTTAAATTAAGAAAAATGTCAAAAATAAAATTTATTTTAGATATGCTAGTGACTGTTGGAAAAAAATCGATTTTCATTAAGAACTTCTTATCAGTTATCCATGAAAATATATATACAAATCCAAAGTTAACCACCCAAATACTCAGTACCACTAAAAACTCAACCACTTAGGCCCAATGCAACATGCTAAAATGAATTTAAAAGAAGTGGCGATTAGTCTTTTCAACGTAAGGTTTTGCTTGAATGATCGTTGCGTAGATAGAGGTTGTAAGTAGTCATTGGGTGAACATTAAGTTATGTTTTTGGTGTTTTGCCAGAAGAAAAGGACCCAATCTAAGATCAATATAAGCACCACTTTACAAAAGTGAAAACCAAATGATAAATTGATTTATAGAATAAATGATGCAATAAGCTTCCATTAGCTACTTGAATAAGTGAGTCATGTTTAATTATTAAATAAAGATATATCACATTGTTTACGACTTGGTTTCATAAATTAATTTTATATTTCTAGCATAAATAATAAGAAGAGACAATACCAAAATTTAGTCCTGAAAATCTTAGTCAATGTTTAATTTGGGCCGTGAACTTTACTTTTTGTCTATTTGATCCTTGTGCTCTTTGAGTCGAATAACTTGGTTTTTCATATGGTTTTGCAAACAAGGAATTAATCTTGATCAATTTCGATCCATTCATCAGAAAATATATATGATTTTGTCAAATAACATGGATTTCCGGGTTTTCGGCTCCATATATGATTATGAATGCATGCAAACCGCCCTATGCATGTGTACTAATTATATAGTATTGCACAAGACTCCACATATAAAATGGTGAGCACCGTGATCCAAATATGACTCCGTCATATGTTCACCAAACTAGTGCCTATTTGGCCAATTCATTCTATATTACATGATTTTGTTAGTTCTCGATTTGAACGTTTATCTGATATTTGACAGAACAATTGAGTTCTTCGACTAGGTTGATCTATCTAGAATTGATGTAAAATCGCTACATATATCAAAGAGAGTTACCTATCTATAATTACAAATTTGAACCATCTTACTTGCCAAGTTTTTAATACTTGAAAGGACGAGGAGAGGCAACTAATGTGATTACCTCTTCTGGACTTAACCAAAACATAACTATACATTTGGCTGGTGAGGTTCTCAATTTAAATTTGGCTTAAGAGGATAATTTCCTGATAAGGAGATAACGTACATAACCTATGCTAGCACACTCAACTTGAGATGACTTGCTAGATAGTGTCTTCTTCATCAATAATATCAAATGTCTTGTTAGATGGGGTACCACCAAAAATATCGTTAAACTAGTCTCAGATAATGAAACTTCATAGTTCGGAATTTGGTAGTTATAGATGGATTTGCAAATAGAATTGAGATAGGATCAATTTGACGATAAACATCAACCCAACACAAAACAATAAGTATTATTCAGGCATAAGATACTATTCTTCTTCCATATGCATGAGGTAGTGTAAAAAAGCAGTAAGGAATAATCTTTACTAGATTTTATTCACGGAAAATCTTCCAATCTTATATATAATAAATCTATACATAAAGAGGGAAAATGGTGAGAAAAAAGAAGAAAAAGAATATTTTTCCCTATACTGACAAAAGGCAAAAAGGAATAGAAAAAGAAAAAATAGAGGATATTTTGCCCTTTATATGGACAAAACTTATTGAGCTCATGCAATCTTAACTTACAAAAGTAATGTTTTTCCTATAAATTTTAATTTATCGACAGTTATCTTGCCTAGATAAAAGGAAAGGAAAGTAAGGGAACTACTTCAGGTTGAAGAAATCAACAATCGAGAAATAAAATATATATAAGAAAGAAAGGTGAAAAGAGATTCCTTCACTTGCTTTGGCGGGAGAACAGACATCCCTTTTTGGAGTGTCCCCATGAAATGAAAGGGAAAGTCTCTTCTTCTTGTTTTCTTTACATTTCTTTGGCTAAAGCAATACTTTTCCGCGGAATTTTGTCATTGGTCGAATCAACATTGTCATTATCTTGTGAAGCACATAAGAATGGATGGGTTTGACAATTATAATAGAGAGGAACCATTAAACTCAAACTAAGCAAAAATATGGCATTTAGCTCCATTTCGGATTTGTGGAACGAATGGAACGTCCGAGGCTTTGTCATGCTAAGCCTCTTGCTTCAAGTCTTTCTCATTCTATTTGCACCTCTTAGAAAGAAAATAACGAACGATTGCATCATTTCCCTCTTGTGGTTGGCCTATTTAATGGCTGACTGGGTAGCTGCATTCGCGATCGGGCTCATCTCTCACAACCAAGGCAATTCGGCCACTCGTGTAGCTGAAGTAAACGGAGCACTTCAGGCATTTTGGGCCTCATTTCTCTTGTTACATCTTGGCGGTCCGGACACAATCGCTGCCTTCTCTCTGGAGGATAGTTCACTTTGGTGACGACACCTACTCAGTCTCATCTTCCAAGGAAGTGCCGCCATTTATGTCTTTGTGCAGATATTTCACAGCGACAAGTCACTGGTGATCCCAACGATGCTGGTGTTTCTTGCCGCGGTCATTAAAAATGTGGAGAGGACATTGACACTTAATCTCTCGAGCCTCCCGAGGTTTAGGGAACGGGTACTCTCACATCACAAGTACTCGAATGATTCACAAATCAGGTTGGTTGAAGAACTCAATGATCTAGGGAGTGGATATTCTGAGGGAGAAGAAGCAAAGCTTGCCGAGAGCATTGTGGTGAAGCATGCTCGCCACTTCTTTAATATCTTTGATGTCTTCCTCACAGATCTCATCTACTCATATGAAGAACGTGCAATGAGTTGCGAATATTTCCACAAAGTTTCTGCAATGGATGCGTTGAGGGTGATATCAGTCGAACTTAATTTCTTTTACGAGATGCTCCACACAAAAGCGTTGACAATACATTCCAGGCTGAGCTACATTTTCCGCTTCATAGCCTTCGTTGATGTTGTGATAGCTTTCATCCTGTTCAATCGCTCGAAGAAGCATCAACTCCCCGATCTCGATGTGGAAATTACTTATTTCCTTCTCTTCGGAGGGATTGCACTTGATATGATAGCTCTGTTCATGCTCGTTTTCTCCGATTGGACTGTTGCTAGTATCAAGTGGGACAACACAACGTCATCTAAACTACATTCATTTCTCCGCAAGTTTGTATCTGCCATGGATAACCTGAGGAAGCCCCGATTCACCACATGTAAAGTCGAGCCTAACACCAACGTTACTTACGAGGTCTTAGATACACCATTAATATTTCGAAGGTGGTCAGAGTCCATCTCTACCTGCAACCTTTTCTCTGAGAGCTTGGATGAGAGTCCAAGAAAGATGCCTAAGCACAATCAGCGGTGGGCCATCATTGCTTGTTCTAATATCCGCAGTTTTGTACTCAGTATGGCTGTGAAGATCATTCTAGCTATTGAGGGAATCACTAATCAAACGAGAGCAATCTCTCGTCCAATCAAAGCAATCTGTTGTCTTCCAGTGATGTCAATCTTTCTTCTAACGATAATAATCTATAAAATTATCCCGGGAGAGAGAAGATTTATGATTGCAAATACGAAGAATGTGTCCAAGAATCCTTTTATGAAGAAGCTATGGATCTTTATCTTTAAGGAAGTGAAACGTAAATCCAAGAAAGCGGATAATCTAAAAGACGTGAAGAAGATAGTTGAATCTAGTGGTGCTCTATTTCTTGAGAGTAGACAGGGGAAGATTGATTGTAGCAATCTTTTAAAGTATGTCACCGAGGCTAATTACGATGCCACTATTTTACGGTGGCATATTGCTACTGAAATGTGGTACAACAGAGAGAAAGCCACCAAAAGAAATGATGAAAGAGAATTCAGCAAGATCCTCTCCGATTACATGTTGTATCTTTTGTTTAATCAGCCTAATGTGGTGTCCGCCGTGGCGGGCATTGCCCAAATCATATCAATGAAGATGTCAGTCAAGATATTGGCCTATCTCCAAGATAAGGAAAGGAATGTAGAGTGGATATGCAATAGATTTTTTGAAAAGGCTGGGGACTTGCATTTCCTCAGTGACACCGAGAGCGACAAATGGAGAGACCCACTCAAGGAGGGGATCGAGTTGGCCCGCGAGATGGAAAGCTTCGGGGAAATGAAGTGGACAGCGATGAGCGGAGTGTGGGTGGAGTTGTTGTCATATGCAGCGATTCATATCAAGGGAGAGGCACACGTGCAGGTGCTGAGCAAAGGTGGAGAGCTTCCTACCTTTGTTTGGCTGTTAATGGCTCATTTTGGTTGTTTCTACAAACCTGAATTGGGCATGCATTATGAACCCTTCAGGACTTTCGGACCGGGATATTAATTGCGACCACAAAAAATCCTCATACCAAGTCAAGAATGAAGAAGCAAGCTTGTCCCGATTTATTCACGGAAACAAGAAACGTCAAAAGGATGCTTGTCTTGTTTTTTTGGCATCCAAATGAGTCCTGTCTTTCCTTTTCAAGCTTCCGAAATCACCATGTCCAATTCCACATCCTCCCTCTTGTTGTTGTTCATTAGCCTTGCTCTTTGCCCTTCCAAATGGTTCTCGTCCCCTTGTCTTATTCACACCTGTGAGGGCTTACCGTTGGTAAAATTAGGCCATCAACTTCTTTGTATCCTTCTTGTTACACTTTCTATGTAATTTTCTATGTTTAACTTTGGACTTCTAGTATTAAATCCTCGCTTTCTTTATCATAAAATACTAAATCCTCCGCATAGTCGTAACTGTACTTACTTCACATATGTTGTTTTTATCAACAACCAGATTTGTTTATTTTTATTAGACAACCAGTTAATTATTCTTAAAGGGTGCAATGTTAAAGCATCTTTTATTAGCGAATTACGTGATTATATTCTTATGATCCTCAAGAAAGTTGCTCAAATTCGCCATTTTAAAGCTAAAACTACTGGAAAGGATCAATTTACCAGAGAGTTATGTAGTTAAAGTCCAAGTCATTGGTGTGCGGCAGGGATGTCGAGGGTTTGCCGAACCGAACCGTATGAGATGTGTGCATGTTTTGATCCGAACCAAATATGAACTCGGCTCGGGTTTCCTCCTCTTCTTTTTTCCTTTCTTCTTCTTCTTCCATTAGCACCCTCCGTCACAAATTCATTCCAAGTCCCTTCTCTTCGAAAAGAGATGGACGTTTCGAGCTTGAACATCAAGGTCTCGCTCTCTTTGAAAATCTACACCTTCCGATTCAAGTTCAGGGACTGAATCCTCTCTCTCTCCCGGTCTCCTCTCCATTTTCTTTTTCAGCTCAAGTTTTGGCTCCAGTTCGAGGTAGCTCCCGATTTCTAGGGTTTTATGGATGTGAGTTTCTCGGGGATTTCGTCGGACCCAGACGGAGAAAACGCTCCGTCGGCGGCGAGGCTGGGTGATATACCGGAGAGCTGCGTGGCGTCAGTGCTAATGAACTTGGATCCGCCCAAAATCTGTTGCTTGACCCGAATGAATCGGGCTTTTCGCAGGGCTTCTTCTGCCGATTTCATTTAGGAATCAAAATTGCCTGTGAATTATGGCGGTGATTGTCGCGAGAGAGAGAAAAAGGAACCTGAAATCTGAACCAAACCAAACCGAACCACCAGACGACACAAATTCCTTTACTTTTCACCCAAACCGAAAAGACCCAAAATTTTCGGTCCGGATAGGTTTGAGTATTTTTCACACCCCTGTGTGGTTTGGAAACTGAACCATTAGGATGCACAGCTGAACCAAACCAAATCGCCACCATAACCGAATATGAACCGAACCGATCTTCGGAGTTTTTGGTTTTGTGGGGGGTTTTTTTTTTTTTTGTCATGTATTATAAGAGTAATTTTCCCGTCAACATGATATTTTTCAACTAGAGATGACATGTCTAGAATCCTGTAGAAATCATGCAATTGTTAATTTAACACAAACCATTTTCTTTGAACAGTAAAATAAAATGCGAATAAATTGATAAACATATAGGTACACATACAATGCTGAGCTTTAGCTTATTTGTCAACCTCAAACTATTATTTCTTATGGAGTTTAAACGGGTAAAGAGAAAATATCATAAAGGCTACTCCTAAATCATGTAAATTATACTGTTTTGACCACTTATGTAACTTATTTTGAAAACAAAATTTGATAATTAACTCAAGAACATCTATTTGATTTATAATCAAAGTAAGATGAAAAGTAAAAACAATAAATAGAGCTTCCTCCATTGAATGAATAACTTTCACTGAACAAATTTCACTTAAATTTAAGCATTAGGATAAAGAAATTATTAAAAAAAGAATTTATTAAAAAAATTAAAATATGTATGTCGGTATTATTTATGATTTGAAATATAGCATTTGACTAAGCGAATAACAAGTAACGGACTTAAAAATCTCATTTTAATGGAAAAATATTTGCTAACATAAAATTAAAAGCTATTGAAAAGACGTATTATCAACTTAATGGACAAAAGACAATATTAAAAAACTTATAGCTCCTAAAAAGTTGGTTAAACTTTAAAGTATTTTTTATTTATTTAATTGAACAAATTTGTAACATCCATTCGGAGTCTCTGTTAGGCGAGGGATTCCTTTTGGCCCGAGAGATGAAATGCCTCAGGGAAATGAAGTGGAAAGGCACATGTGCAGGTGTTGACCAGAGTTGGAGCTCTTCTGGCCTCTGTCCGGACATGTTGTAATTATGAGTTAAATGCCTCAACATGTCTTTTCAGTTATGTCTCTTTGGATCATGTCTCAATTGTTGCAATTATGGGTTAATTGTTGCAATTATGGGTTAATGGCTCATCAAATGCGAGCACAACCGGCGTGACTCTTTAGTTCATGTCATTTTCAGTTTTCTGCATAAGTTTTCACTGTCTTAAAGAAAGCATGTCTCAAGTCATGTCTCTTGTGCTCGTGTGAAGGGAGTCCATTAAGTGTGCTGATTTCGATAAGTGTTCGACATAGTCATGTTCGTATCGTGTTAATATAAACGGATACGATGTGTTATATCTTGAGAGGCATAGTTTGTAAAGTTACTTAGCACTGTTGACAGGAGCTAATCGCCTAAACGGGTACGAGGTGTTGTATTTTGGGAGGTATAGTTTGTAAAGTTACTTAGCACTGTTGGCAGGAGCTAATCGCTCCTGTGAAGGGAGTCTATTAGGTGTGCTGATTTCAAGAAGTGTTCGACAAAGCCATGTTCGTATAGTGTTAATATAAACGGGTACGAGATGTTGTATCTTGGGAGGTATAGTTTGTAAAGTTACTTAGCATTATTGGCAGGAGAAATGTTCGACAAAGTCATGTTCGTATAGTGTTAATATAAATGGGTACGTGGTGTTGTATCTTGAGAGGCATAGTTTGTAAAGTTACTTAGCATTGTTGGCACGAGCTAATCGCCTAAAAGAGATTCGGTTAACCATGCCTCACCTCCTATTTAATGTTGTTACAATTTTATAGCAATTGTGCAAGTTTGTATCCTCTTTTACTCATTGACTTGGTCATTATTAAAGTTGTCATCGCTTTTTTCAGAATTATCATTATTTGTTACAACAAACAGTGTCACATATTTTTTCTACACTACGTTTTAGTAGCCATAGGTCTGTCATGTTCATGGATTATTAGAATGTGTTTCCTTAAGAACATGAATTAGAGAAATTTCATACTATGTAATGTTGTTGACACAAAAACTCGGGACTCAGACAACGGTGGGACGCTGTGCAAACTTACTGGCTCTTTTCGATGATGTAAATCTACTACCCCTATTCACATTTAAATAGTTGATGATTGCCGACTAGGGGCAGATGCTTATCGCTCCGGCGAAGTGAGCATCACGGTTCTTAGTGTCAACTTGTTTCTCTTCTTTTTCCTCCTTTCAGAATCATGTCCATTCTCGGGCTAATTGGCAAGTTGGCTCAAATTTTAACCCGAAAACACTTATATCCTTACCCGAAATACAAACCGACCCGTTTTAGTTCTGCGTTTTCCCTGTAAAGGACGTCAAAAGATCCGACTGGTAGATGTTCCGAACCAAAAACGGTTCGGGTTATCGGGCCAAGGTCTTTTTGACTCCCCTTATATTGTTTTGCATAATCTACCTATACCAATAGATTGCATGGTATTGCGGAAAGTCTAATTTAATATCTAAAACTTAATGCCAAATTGATATATGTGATTGGATTAACTGGATTCTGATTAAATGCTGAGGCCAAAAGAAAATGTCTTAAATAGGTAGTGATTTATCTCCTTTTCTCTATTTTTTATGGTCTCCCTATTTATCCTGTGTAAGCACACTCAACCCGACATGGCTTGCTAGATAGTGTCTTCTTCATCAATAATATCAAGTGTCCTATCAGATGGGGTATCACCAAACATTTCACTAAACTAATCATGGATACTGAAGCTTCATACTTCGGAACTCGGGTTGTTATAGATGGATATGCAAATAGAATTGAACTAGGATCGATTTGACGACAAAACATCAACCCAACACAAAGCAATAAGCATCATTTAGGCATAAGATACTTTTCTTCTGCCATATGCATGAGATAGAGTAAAAAAACAGTAAGGAATAATCTTTACTTGATTTTATGCACGGCAAACTTCCATTCTGTACATAAAGAGGGCAAAAGGTGAGAAAAAAAGAAGAAAAAGAATATTTTGTCTTATATGGACAAAAGGCAAAAGGGTGAGGAAAGAGAAAAAGAGAGAGGATGTTTTGCCCATTATATGGACAAAACTTATTGAGCTAATGCAATCTTAACTTACAAAAGTTACGTTTTTTCCATAAAATTTTATTTTATGACAGTTATCTTGCTAAATAAATAGAAAAGCAAGTAAGGGAACTACTTCAGGTCGAAGAAATCAATAATCGAGAAATAAAATATAAAGAAAAAGGTGAAGAGAGATTTCTTCACTTACTTTGGCAGGAGACAAACATGCCTTTTTGGAGTGTCCCACTTATATTAATTTCAATTTGGCTTTGGCTTATATCATCCCCATGAAAGGGAAAGTTTCTTTCTTTCCATTTCTTTGGCTATAGAATGAATGACGCAGACATAGATGGCATCCAAGGTTGCCTTCTTCATAAACAGGACAGTTTTACGCCAATTATGTCAGCTAACTTTTCTTCCTTTGGATCAAGAAATAATATATATATATATATAAGCTATATATATATTTATATATATATATATAAGAAAAAGAGGTGAAAAGAGACTTCTTCACTTGCTTTGGCGGGAGACAGACGTGCCTTTTCCGAGTGTTCCACTTATATATTAACTCAAATTCGTCTTTGGCTCATACCGTCCCTCTTGAAATGAAAGGGAAAGTCTCTTCTTCTTGTTT